CACACACACACACACACACACACACACACTCACACACACACGAGAGAGCTATGACGGTGGTGGAATGTGATGGAGAGAGCTTAAGCAAACTGGAGTTTTGCCGTGGCCCGGCTGTCCAAAGACTGGCGCCTCAACGAGTGGTAAGGAGCTCCCAAATGGCCGCCCACACAGGTTGAACAATTTGGACAGAATGGGCCTCGCTCCAGCACTCACAAAATGTGCAAAATGAGAATGAATCTTCTGCTAGAACATGGGAAGATACACAGCCGTATTTTTTGTCTTTTGTGCATGTGGTGAGCACTGGAGTGAGGCCCTATTGCTGTCTTCTTTGTTGGATTTTAACTATGTACCCTTGCGTTGAACAGTTTAGACCATTGGGAGTGCTGCTTTCTTTTCTCTATTTTCAGCTTTCCACTTCTTTTCCCTGGTTTTGATTCGGCCTGCATGGCACGGTTTCGCAATCTGCACCTCTTTGCCATCTGTATCGCACCAATGGCCACCATTGCTTTCTTGTTCTTTTTCCGTGTTTCGGTTTTCCGTTCCTTTCAATTTGGACCATTTCTCGATTTCTGCGTGTCATACTTTCGTAGGGGCCATGCTAATCTTCTTTGCCTGCAAACAATGTACGTTCATTACAGCTGTATTCGGGGTATCTTTCAGTCTAAATACAGCAATAATGACCGTATGGCGTACGTTGTATCGGGTGAAGAAGGTACTCTTCTCTGCGTCGTTCCGATTTCAACGGATGTCGCAGAGGACGCCCACCGTTGCTTTCTCATGTGGAAGATATCAAACTTTACTGTTACTTCAGTTCCTTTTTTTTGCCCCTCAGCCAGCAAAGGCTCCTTGCGAAGAGCGAGAATGTCGGTTTTTTTTTTCTTTTCTTGTTCTTTTAAAGATAGAATATCTAATTATATCTTGTTTTGCGTCGTTCCGATTTCAACGGATGTCGCAGAGGACGCCCACCGTTGCTTTCTCATGTGGAAGATATCAAACTTTACTGTTACTTCAGTTCCTTTTTTTTGCCCCTCAGCCAGCAAAGGCTCCTTGCGAAGAGCGAGAATGTCGGTTTTTTTTTTCTTTTCTTGTTCTTTTAAAGATAGAATATCTAATTATATCTTGTTTTCGTATTGGCATATTTTATGATAGTGATCACGTCCCATTCAGCAAAATGTGATTTATAGTATCCGCAGAGTATAGCTGACTTCCCCACCAATACATTAGAGCATCCAGGTCTTTTGCTAGGAGGGGGTGCTCTTCTCACCTCTCCTAGCAAGGACGCTGCTTTTCAAAAAAAATAAAAAAATAAAAGCTGACTTTGTCTCTCACACTTACCCATCCAGCAGGCAAGCTGTTCAGCACTTCACCCTCGTCAAATGGGAACGACTTCCCTTTCATCTCAGACTGTTGACGGCTCAATGCCTCCATTCGCTTCCCGCTGTCATCTTCGCCATCAGGATGAGGTAAGCGGATAGACTCAGCAGCCAGCATTTCCACGGCCGCGGCTGCCCGTGCCTGCTCAACCCATTCAACTGTGCCCTCCAGCTCTTGGACTCTTGCTCTCAAGGAATCTGCCTCCTGCCGTGCCGCGCGGAGCGCAGGCGATTCTCCCTCTTTCACCCTCTCCTCTGTTTCTCTCATCAGCTGTTCGATCTCGTGGAGCTTTCGCCTACACTCGTCAGACTCTGCCTTGGCCATTGTTGCTTCTGTCAGAGCGTTCCGTATTCTTTCATCCATAACTGACTTCTTACCACCTGCTGCAGCTGCGATATTAGCAGCATCAGCTGCGCTTCCCATCTCCGCGATCCTTCGTGCAATCTCCGCCTTTTCATCTGCACGCTGGTTTGCATCCTCTGCCCTCCTCTCTGCTGCTCGGGCCCTCTCGTCAGCGGCTGCCAATGCATGCTCCAGAGACTCCACCTTCCCCATTGCCTCGTTCGCTTTAGCCTTGGAGTCCTTCAGCGCACTCTCCACCTCAACGAGAGCTGCCTCCAGAACCTCAGCCCTCTTCTCGAACCCAGCCTTACGCTCAGCCATGGCCGCAAGATCGCTTTGAGCCCTCCCTTCCCTTTCCTCGGCTCGGGCTTCGGATGCACGAACGACGTCCTCCAGCATAATCATCCACTGCTCCAAGTCATCCTCTGCGACTTTGCAGGTCCGCCACAGCTCGGTGGCAAGAATCTCCGTGTCCCGGAGTGTTCTCTGCAGTGCGTCCACTTTCTCATGCAGAATCTCCTCCTGCCTGTGCTCCTCAACTCCTTCCACAGAAGTAGCATCGCCAACTGCAATTGCGCTCTTCTGAACCTTCTCGAGCTGGTCGACAATAGCCTCGCTCTTCTTGTTTGCTTCCACCAATTTCGCACACGCCGTATCCAGAGCCTTCTGAATGAGAAGCGACCGCTCCTTCGCTTCCTGCGCTTGCTCATCAGCCTCCATCAGAGCCATTCCCAATAATGCGGCATGGTTTTTCACTTCCGCAGACTCTTCCAAGGACGCTCGGAGTGCATCCTCGACCTCTCGCAAGGCCCCTTCGAGAGCGACCACCTTGATCTCAAGCCCCGCTCGGAGCTCCCTTAGCGATGCCACGTCTGCGGATGCCTTCTTCTCCACTTCTTGAACCTTCCACTCCACGGCGCTCAGAGCCATTGCAAGAATGACCCCTTTCCGTTCGGCCCTCTCTGCTCTCTCTTCCATGGTCTGAAGTGCCTGGGCTCTGGCTTCGACATCTTCCACCAGCTCCTCTGCACACCGTTCCGCCTCCTCTCTCACCTCTTCCACTTCCCGTATTCTTTCTTCTGCCGCTTGAACCTCCTTCATTGCCATCTCAAGATCCTGCCGCCGCATTTCCGCCTCCTGCTCAGCTCGCTCCAAGGCCTCCCGGACCACTGCGCCTTCTGCCTCTGCGACCCTGACTGTCGCCTGCAAGGCTTTGAAACGGAGCTCGGCATCCTTGGCTCTTTTTTCTGCCTCCCCTATCCGCGCTTCCATCTCCTCCATGACTCCACTCTGTACCTTTGCCTCTTCCAATGCCTCTGCCAGCTCTTCTATCCTGTTTTTAAGTTGCTGCTTCTCTTCTTCTAGCTCTTCCACCCTCAGTCTTTTTTGATTCAGCTCCTCACGCATAACAGCAAGCTCCTCTTCCTGAACCTGTGTTCTCTTCTGCTGCTCCACCATCATGAGGTCGAAGGCATCCGCCATCCTCTTTCTTGCCTGTTCGGCTTGTCTCTCCGCCCCAAGCACAAGGGCATTTGCCTTCTCCTCCACCAATTTTAGCTCTTCCCTCGACCGTTCGGCTTCCTTGTTTGCCGCATCGGCTGACCTCTCAGCTTTTGCCAGTGCATTGCCACTGTCCTGCAGCTGCACAAAGAGGGTTTCAGCCCTTCTCTCTGTCTCCATAAGTCTGCGCTTCAGGTCCACTAGCATCTCGTCCCTACTACCAGGAGGTGCCCTCTCCTCGAGGATCCTCTCGAGATCCTTCACTCTACCCTCCCCCTCTCTCATTTGCTCCTGCATTTCCCGCAAAGCAAGTGCTTGGGCTTCCACATCTCTGACCGCAGCCTCCCACTCCTCCCGACGCTGATCTGCCTCGACTTCAGCACGAAGCTTCGCCTCCACAACCGCATTGAGATCCTGCTTCAAGCTTCTTAATGTTTCTTCAAGCTCCTCGACACGCTGATTAGATTCCTCAACCTTCTGCTCAAGACAAAAGAAAGCCAACCCCCTGCTCTCCGCGATGGATTGCGCCTCTGCATTTACCTTGCGGAGTTTTGTCACTTCCATTCTCGTTTGCTGCAGCTTTCCCTCAAGCGTCTCTGCGCCTTCCGGAACCTCCACGTCTTCCCCCTCGCCGCCGAACTCCTGCTTATGCAAGAGGTCACTGTCATCAATAAGATCAATCCGGTGCCAAGATCTAAGCTTCCGTTGAACATTGGTAAGGGTTCCTTCTAAAGCCTCTGCGCGTGCTTCGGCATCTGCAGCGGCTCTTGAAGCCGTCTTTGCTCTTCGTTCAGCACCATCCAAATCTTTCTTTGCCTCGGCCAGTGCCAGCGACAAAGCCTTGAGCGCAAGTTCAGCTTCCTGTGGCTTTACCTCTGAATCTTGGGTATTGCTTGGTGACAACTCTCCTACGCTCTCCTCCAGTGAATCGCCACTTCCTTCTTCCAGTGGCACAACCCTTTCTGGCTCACTGATAAGCTCTTCCCTCACCAACTTGCCACCGCGCATGATCCTCCTCCTTGTCACAGTCCGAACGCGTCGCCCGCCTGAAGTCGACCCTCGGGCATTCACGATCGCTTCCAACTGAATGACTCGCCCCTCAGCAGCCCGGAGCTTCTCCAGAACTTGACTCTCTCTTTCCCCAACATCCTTAAGCTCTGCAAGTTCTCGTGCAAGCGCCGCCTCCCTCCTCTCAGCCTCCAGCCTCTTATCCTCCTCCTCATTAAGGTGCGCCTCCATCTGATTCAGCCTCCTCATAAGTGCTCTTATCTTTGTTGTCTCCATTGCTTCCACCTCCTTCTCCCTCCTTTCCATTTGCTCCCTCACCCTCACCAGCTCTGCATCTTTCCCCCTCAGTTGGCTGTCAAACCCTTCCCTCTCTCTCGCAGCCTTCACCAGTTCCCGCCTCAGCGATCGTTCTCTCTCCTCCAGCAAACTCCTGACATCCTTGTTCTCATGCAACAACTTCACAGAGTTTACCTTGCCCCTCTCCAGGTCCTCCTTCAAGTCCTCGCAAACCTGGATCGGCCGGTCATGATGGCGCTGGTTGTCATGGTTATCATCCTCGTCGGGGTTCATTCCCATTATCTTCTTTTCTTTCCACGAGAGTGCACCATCCTGGCTCATCGGGGCTTTCAGGAGACTTCCGCCCATCTCCTGTGCTCCAAGGCCACTGGCTTTGTCACCGCCACTCACGCTTGGCAGTTCGGAAGAGGCCGTTTCTGGTTCAGGGCTCTTGCTCTCCTCTGCCGCTCGAGTGTCTCCCAGTTCCGTTCTGTGAACCAAACTGTCACTGTGCGACAATGGGGAGCTTTCAGCTGATACCCAGTTGGCTGTAGGATGATCGTCACCAACTGTGCCACCAGCATTCACTGAATCATCACTAGCTTGCACCTGAACAAGGCTCTGAGGGCTTTCCACTTCATTCTCACTTGAATCTTCGGGTCTTTCAGGCAATGGCATATCGAGAGGGAGAACCATTGAACCTGCGCCACGATGATGCAAGATAACTTGCTTCTCCTCACTACGAGTAAGGCTTTCCGAAGGCGAAGCCAAGTCGACAGGTCCTCCCGGCTCGTTCTCGTACTGCAGAACCCAACAGAAAGCATTGAACACACAGAGCACCACACCGACAAGCAAGCTTCATTAGCATGACTGTGCTTTCGACCATACAGCAATCGGGAGAACAAGATTCGGCTATGTTGCAAGTAGTGCTTTTTAAAAAAAAAAAAAGGCTAATTCTTTTAAGCCCAACCAGTTCAAAAAACTGTCGAATCTGACAGGGAGGCCTTTCGGGCCTTTTATAATCATTACCGTATTATGGGAAACCCCCTAGCAGCCAGCCACGCTCAAGCCTCCAACGAGGGAACATGCCGGGGCTGCGCCCGACCTACAGGTGAGCGCTACAGGCCAGGGGTCAGCCAGTAGCATCCGGACCGAGCTTCTCCGATGTGCAATGAACCCAGATCGTGAAGACACTTGTCAACAATGCAAGCCCAGATGAATGTCAACCTGCTGATGATTACCAATAATCATAATCGTGTCCAGAAAGAATGAGATGGGAGAATCATACACAGACGAGGGAGAGAGGAGGGAGATTAGACTTTAGAAGTTTAGAATAAAAGACAGAAGCCGACTTCTGCTTCAGGCTTCCTCCTCGATCACCACCTCAAATAATCAGTAGTCTGAACGTACATCTGGACTTCTACTACAATGTGCCACGTGGCACGTCAATCAGTCATCAGCGCACTGGGGCAATGCCGACCTCAAGATGACCAGGTATGTGCCCACGATTACCCCACAGTCATGATCTCCTCCTGAATAACGATGAATTAGAACAGGAGTGCCAATCACGTAGCCCAGCACGTCAGCAACAGCACACGTGGCAGCGGCCACGTCAATAGCAACGCGTGGCAGCTGCCACGTCAGCATGCCCAGAAGACAATAGCAAGCCAGCCACCATGCTGAGCCAGCATCGCGTCGCCGTAATCACCCAAGTGCCAGCACAAAGCCAGCGTCCAACCAGCATCACAGCGTCGAGCCAGCGTCGTCGTCAACGCGTGAAGTCAGCATTGACGCAAGACTGAATGAATGTCAACAACGTCAGGAAGTCAGCCCTTATGTAGCTTCGACGCGGGGTCTGGTCCCCGGATGCTGCACCCCTCAGCCGTCCAGATCTCAATGCAAAAGGCGGCCCAGATTGGCCTGAAACCGAATTCCTTCTGGCCTTGATGCTGTCTGAGTACCTGCATAAAACAAGTGAGTGTATCCGACCAAGGGCCTGGGCGGGTATCTTCGACCTGACAGTTGACTCAGACTTTTGACTTCCCAAGGGCAGTGTATGGTCACACTGCCCTCCTGGCGCAGGCCGAATGTGGCCTGCGTTGTCTGGGCTCCATTTCGAGGGCCCAGACTGCTGCAGACGTGGGTTACTGTAGATGAGCCAGTTGCTGCGCCTTCCCTCTGGTCCACCCCCCCTCCCCCTACGAATACCTGCTTGGCGGCGATCGGGGGTGGCCAGCCGGCTACCTCAAGATGGAAGGCATCAAGTCTGCCTCGGTATGTACATGAGGCGGATAGGAATTGAAATTCAACCCATGACCGCCTGAATGCGAGCTAGGGACGCAGGCTTCAATTGCCACATTTACGCAGTTTCTTGAAGGCATAATGGTCTGAAATAGCAGGCGGTGGAAGATGAGGGTGTACTCACACTAGCACTATCTTAAACATATCTAACCGGACTTACAGCTAGACCTGTATGCACCTGGTCGCAATTCCGTCCAGAAATAGCTAGAAAAGTGCCAGAGTGAGTCTGCTCTAAGGCAGCTTGCAATATCAGCCTCTGGAAGACACGAGAGTCTGAGCTCCATCTCCCACAGCTCATCAGGAAACAGAACAGAAAACTACTGTCCTCACCCGAATACAACATCCGGCCATGAATCTAGACTCAAAGCGGCCTTGAATACAGCTATAATGACTGTACGCTGTATTCAAGTGAAGACGGTAGACAAAACATCAATGAAGATACATTGACATCAAATCGGGAAATATATGTCAGGGAACAAAGGAGCCAACCTGTCGATCGGGACATCCGTTAAACAAAAAGAACGATATGGACAAGATTAGCATGGCCCGTGCACAACGATGACACGCACAAATGGAGAAATGGTCCCCCCAAAAAAAAGAAAAAAGAAAGAAAGAAAAAAAGGAACCAAAATTTAACCAACCTTCAGCGATACAGGAACGCCCCTGCTTAGCAACCACTGTTGCTGCTGCTGAGCCTCATGCCATTGATTAGAGCCGCGGAGATCGGACCGCAGAAGCGAACCCATGAACCCTTTCTGTTCTTGTCCGGAGCAGCAGGTCACCATCAATGTCATCAGATCAGAATACCCATTTCTCTCAAACTGTACAGGGAGAAAACAGACAATCACAGAAGGCGACTTCACGCCATCAGTTTCGCACACATGAAAGGGTGTACATCATGCAAAAAGATTCCCAGATTCTTTCAAAATGTGAGACAGTTGCACGGGCGGCAGGTTCCTCAAGGCAAACGTCAAGTAATTCCACAACATACAATGCAAACACCCACCCAGCGTATAAATGTCTCCGAGGACGGGGGGCCTGGCTATCCCCAGAGAACTCTGGCAGTTTCTAATCTCCAAGGGCCACCTCGATCTCCCGATGAAGGCTGAAATACTACGGAAACCATATGCCCTTCGAAATGGGAGATCCAACCCAGACCACCCTCACAGTTGACCCCCCGTCAACACGCCTACACCGCTACACGTTTTTTTTTCCATGAAAGTGACACACTCAACCCCCCCTGCACCAACACGCCTACACCGCTACCCCGTCCACCCCCCGCCGTCCCCCCCTTCCCTCCCCGTTGTCTAGTGCACAGTGTACAGTTCATGGCCGATGCCATCCACCTATTCAACTACTGATAGAATGACACTGAGCATGCGCTCAGAGAATTGATGAGAGCGAAAATTGTCAGGACAAACCAATGGCTGGCTGATGCAGCGACCACCGTGTGTCAGGAACCTGGCCTCTACCACAACCTGAGTTTGTTTAGATTGAAAAAAAAAAAAAAAAAAAAAAAAAAAAGGAAGAACGGTGTTTTGGTGATGTCGTCCACTTTGGGCTCGGGTCCAATGGGGTTCCATCAAAAGCATAACGCTGGGTATTGGGAAAAAAAAAAAAAAAGGTGCTCCCCTCTTATCACAGGAATGTGTTAGCGGCCCAGGACAGCCGTGCCCATTAAAAATGGATAATCGATCAGTTCTCCAGTACACAGTTCATGGCCGATGCCATCCACCTATTCCACTACTGATAGAATGACACTGAGCATGTCCTGGCCTTTTACCGCAGGAATGCACTACAGTCTTCACCTGAACACAATTGATCCGAATAACGAATGCAGACAACCTGTCCTTCCCGGTGCGGTATAGCCATTATGGGGGTGTGTTGTTCGTCGGGGGAAGACGGTAGCTTCCGTTGACAAAGGACAAGGAATGATTCAGTGCACAAAAACAATCAATGTGGCCATTCTGCCCCTCTATCATGTTCGTCTAATTATTCATTTCTCTACTTTTTTTTTTTTTGATTTCTTCATTCATAGCGTTAGGACTTCTGATTTTCCTTTTCCCCCCAAAGTCTTCGGAGGGCCATTCCCATGATATCTTCGGAGGGCCACTCCCGTGATATTACCGTTCATGGTACGAATGTGGCTGCCTCATATATTTCCTTCTGATCACTGAAACCTTCGGAGATTTTCACTCACAAAGCAACCTCCCCCCCCCCCCCCCCCCTCCCCCCCCGGGGAGGGGAGAAAAAGCTTTTATACAATGACAGGAAATGGGCCCAGCATCCCTTACATCAACAACATCAACCGTCAGGAAGGAGCCCGGCAGCTCCAGCCGAGTTTAGTCCCCGGTGGCAGCAGCTATGGCCATAAGAGCGCAGGCAGTGGAAAGCAAATACACCATCTGCAACAACCTCGACACAGATCCCGACTCGCAGTTCATCAGCCCTCATGATTGTCCAATCAGATACATAAAATATAACAAAGACGACCGATTGGATGAGGAAATGAACACTCAGCCCTCATGATTGTCCAATCAGATACATAAAATATAACAAAGACGACCGATTGGATGAGGAAATGAACACAAATCAACAGAAGACGCTCCAAAATTGAAGAGCTCCAGCGACCTTCGGATCCATTTTCAAGGTCCATCTGGATTCGAACTCGGGTCTGTATTTCAACAGTTCATGGGAGTACAAAGCTTAGCCCCTCTGCTCACTCTTCACGTCTTCAAAAGCGACAACTTCTCTTTCTGTTCCTTAACTTCTCTGGGCATACTCACACATTCGCTTTCTTGAATGTATGCGACCGCAATTATGACCAGACCTCGATGTGTATCCGACCGTAATCACATGCGGAGCCGAGTCCAGAAGTCCTAGTGTGAGTATGGCCTTACAAGTAACAAACACATAGCACTCGTACCTGCAACGGATCGGCATTCTCAAGAATCTCTTCCCTCAGCAAAGCTGGCAAGCTCCAGTCCACACCAATTGCAGGATCCAGAAACAGCTGATAACATAACAACAGCCAAAGCAGGACAAGGAGTTTTAGCTTTTGTCAGCACGTAAAAAAGGGAGAGCGAGGGAGCACACACACGAGAGAGAGAGAGAGAGAGAGAGAGAGAGAGAGAGCTGTCTCTTATACACATCTAGATGTGTATAAGAGACAGCCGCACCCCACCCCCAAAAAAAAAATAAAAAAAAATGGCCCTG